TTGCACAGGGCGACCTTGCAGGGGCCCTTGCACGGGGGGACCTTGCACGGGGGGACCTTGCACAGCTGGTGCTGGTGCTGCAGGGTCTGTGCCACTGGGGGGGGTTGATGGTCTCTGCGTGGTCGGGGGAGCCTGGGGCTCCCCGTGGCACGGCGTGGGTGGGGTGTCGCACCCCAGATGCACCTTGGGGTCCCCAAACCCCCCTGGCGAGGCTGGCTGCAGCAGGGAGAGACCCAGGCCAGGCGACTCCTCTGGCAGGGTGGGTGGTTTGGGGACAGGGACAGGGGATCCTCCCTGCCTCCAACCCGGGACAGTGGGGAGTCCTCCCCAGGGAGCTCGTCCCCATGTCCCCATCCCTGCCTGCTCTTCCCCTGCTCATCCCCCTGTCCCCATCCCTGCTGGCTCTTCCCTTGCCTGGCCCCAGGGAGCTCGTCCCCATGTCCCCATCCCTGCCTGCTCTTCCCCTGCTCGTCCCCATGTCCCCATCCCTGCTGGCCCCAGGGCTGTCCCAGGCTCTCCCTGCCCCCGGTGCCAGGGAATTGCCAGTGCTGGGGACCCTCCTGTGTCTCAGGAGCTGGTTACATCCCGCCTGGGCTCCGGCAGCCCCTTTCCTCCCCGAAACATTTCTTTCAGGTGATGTACCCAGCAATGACACGCAGGTGACCGCTGGCCGCCTCCAAGCACCTCAATCTCCTCTTCCTCCTCTTCCTCCCTCAGGCATCGAATGTCCCCGGGGAGCCAGGAACCTGCCTGGGCTGGTTCAGGAGGGTGAGCCCTTCAGCGAGGAGGCCACGCACTTCACCAAGGAGCTGGTGCTGCAGCGAGAGGTAGGGGATGCTCGGCAGCGCGGTGGCTGGGGGGGCTGCGGCACACCGGCTCGGTGCCAGTGCGGGAGGGGCTGGCGATGCCCCTGGGGCGCAGATCTCACCGAAAGGCTACGAGCGAAGGCAAGGGGCAAGGGGAGCTTCCCCCGGTGCTGGATGCCGTGCTCAGGCTGCACCGCGCTGCTGAGCCGCAGCCGCCTCGTCCCTGGTCTCTGCAAGTGGTTTGGTGCTCCGGGCAAAGCCGCGCGGACCTGGCTCGCAGCACCAGCAAAGCCTCCCACGATGCCGATGCCGGGGCTAGGTTTGGCCCCGCTCTCCTCTCCGAGGCTCTCGTGTTGGTGCGTCGTGGTTTCGCCGCAGTGCTGGGGCCAGACCCTGGCAAAGCCCTGGTGTGCAGGGCTCAGAGCTGGGGTGGTGCAGCTGGCTGTGCCCGGGGGCTGCCAGGGCAGAGCTGTGCCCGTGAGACCCCCGTCCCTGCAGCTCCGGCACTGCTCGGGGGCTGTGCCGTTCCCGTGGCGGGTGGGAGCTGCGTGCCACCAGCCGTTACACACCAGGTGATACGGAGAGCATCCCCGGGCATTTGCAGCCGGTCCATAAATTGCCAAGGCATTACGTTTGCTCTGGCTCTAAATCTCCCCTCGCTGAAGGCAGCGATGGGGAAGGTGATTGACAGCTTCTCCCAGCAGCAGCGCCGGGCAGGGGACAGGTGGGGACAGCGCTCCCATTTTATTTTGTTTTGTTTTGCTTTATTTTATTTTATATTATATTTTATTGTATTGCATTTTATTATTTTTGGTGGAAATCAATATTGAATCATGGTCTCTGCTCTGAACGTGATGGTGGCTGTGGCGCTGGTGCGCTGTGTTTGGCTGGCGTGGCCCTGCCTTCGCACTCCTCCACGCCGCCAGTCCCACACCAAGGAGGACTGGGGAGGGCTGGGGACCCAGCTCCAGCCCCCAAACCCCCACCTCTGCGGTGGGAGCCAGGCCAGGCTGTGCTGCGCGGGCTGGACATCTCCTGCTGTCCCTGCTCCTGCAGCCGCAGCCGCCTGGAGCGGTCCTGGCGGCTTGGGGATGGAGCGGCACGGTGCCGGGGCGGGGGGGCTCCGGCTTGGCAGAGGGGGCCGCATCCTGCTGGGTGCTGGGCAAGGCTGCTGCACATGTCCCAGCAAGGCTGCAAAAGCGATGACCCCGAAAAGCACCTGGCGAATGACGCCTGCAAAAACCAGGCGAGCGGAGAGATGATGCTTGCAGAAAAGGAAAGTGCAGAGGAAGCAGGATGCAGCGTGCGGCCGCGCCGGGGGGGCTCCATCACACGGGGAGGGAGGTTTGCTGCTGCCTTGAGGATGAGGAGGGACCCACCCTGCGGCGGGTTGGGGTGCAAATGGGGCAAACCCCCCCTCCCCCCCTGCCCAGCAGCCGGCGAGGGCTTGTCCGTCTCCGGGACCTCCCGGAGCGGGGGATAGCTCCGGTGGGAAGGGGCAGCCCAGGATGCCGGGTCCCGCAGCCGCCCCCCGCGCGGGGATCCCCGCTATTGGGCTGAGGAATACGGATGGATCCGCTGCGCATCGCTCCCTTTATGCCCATTCCCAGCCGTCCGGTTTAAATTGGGTGAGGAACTCATTATCGCAAGGGCTGCCAGCGCAGTCCCCCTC